GATATCACGACGGAGCTCTAAAGAACTTTGTCTGTTTTATTCGACCCGGCCGGACTTACTGTGCCCGGCACGACGGCTGTCGTCACGTATCGTGGGGCGCCCACGCGATCCATAGATCGATCTTGATTGTCTTGCCTTATCCTCCAATATATCTCGCAAGTCCGGAGCGTTCCCCTGTGGCCTTGTGCTTTTTGAGCGATGTCGGGGTACGGGTCTAGTGAAGGGCCTAGAGGCCTCTCTGTCGCGACCACGGGGTGGTCGGTCAGCCGTATTGTCTCCTGGTGATGCGGGTTCATACGCTTCCTCCTCTAATCGGGGGAGCAGCTTGCGTTTAGGGTAGCTTTTGGAGGGGCGTTCGAGCTCATGCTCTTCGGCCGCGAGGACTTTAGTCCATCTGTCGGCTAGCAGATCTTGATCAGCTCTAAGTTGTTGCTGCTTTTTCTTGAGGCTGTTCGCCGTGGCCATAAGCCTGCGTTTAAAACGCTCTTGTTCGACGGGATCCTCAGGCACGACGAATTCATCGTCGTCGAGGCTTGCCTCGTCTCCGGAGGGAGGCATATAATCCTCTACCTCTTCTTCTGCCGCTCTCTCATGAGGGTTGGCGTCTCTGTCCTCCTGCGCTGCATCTTGCTGGAGTGGGTTGTCTTCGGCACTGTCTGTTGTATTATTATCTCCGGTGTAGGAGTCTTCATTCTTGCTGTGGCGGGATTTAGAGCGGCGCCGCTGACGCCGGCACTTGGGCTGCTTCTTGGAGGGGTCGTCCTCCGCTGTTTCTTCACCATTCCCATCCTTTGGGATATCCACCATGTATATGTCATATGATGAGGTGGCTTTCTAGTGCCCAGTAGGTGCTGGTTCTTGGTCGTCTCCGGCATCTTCGTCCATACTATCGATGTCTTCGGAGTCGTAGTCGAGCATGTCGGTTAAATCGTCGACAGCGGCTACCAAGTGGGTGGTGGGTGGGCTTTGAATTTCTTCGTCGTCCGCATCCCAACCGTCTTGACCGCAGTCCGGCCAGGGCTCTCCTGATAACGAGAGATACTTTAGCGAACTCAAGATGTCGCCAAAAGGTGAGAGTTGAAAGATGTCCGCTGCGGTGAACTCCATGATCGGCACCCAATTGGATTCGATCGGAGGGGGCACGGGAGGTTCGGAGTCCGGCAAGGAGTCCGGCGCCTCGGAGTCACGGGCTTCATGAGGGACAAGGTCATTGTTCGGCTCTATCACCGTAGGGGTTGCAGCTCCCGAGGTGGTGTCTAGCCATCCGTCCTCGACCTGCGCCGCCGACTCCGAATTGATGATCGGAGCGGGCTCGAGTGCGGCCTCCAGGGTACTGTCCGGCTGCAGAGCTAAATCATGCTCGCCGTGACATTGCGGCACGCTCGGCTGTGGCTCGAATCCATCGAGGATCAAGTCCCCGCGGATGTCAGCCGTGAAGCTCAAACTTCCAAATCTGACCTGACGGCCAGGGGCGTAGCTTTCGATCTGCTCCAGACGGCCAAGCAATTGGCCCGTGGTGCGAAGCCGCCGAATACGAAGATCTGTCCGGGGAGAAAGGTCTCACCCTAGACTGCATCATTGATGATGGTCGAAGAAGCCATCGAGCCTATCGGTGACGACATAGAGGAACTCTTAATGAAAGCACCAATGTCGGTGTCAAAACCGGCGAATCTCGGGTAGGGGGTCCCGAACTGTGCGTCTAGGCGGATGGTAACAGGAGACAAGGGACACGATGTTTTACCCAGGTTCGGGCCCTCTTGATGGAGGTAAAACCCTACGTCCTGCTTGATTAATATTGATGATGTGTGTTACAAGAGTGGATATACCACGAGATCGAGGAGGCTAAACCCTAGAAGCTAGCCTATGGTATGATTGTTGTTCGTCCTATGGACTAAAGCCATCCGGTTTATATAGACACCGGAGAGGGCTAGGGTTACACAGAGTCGGTTACAATGGTAGGAAATCTACATATCCGTATCGCCAAGCTTGCCTTCCACGCCAAGGAAAGTCCCATCCAGACACGGGACGAAGTCTTCAATCTTGTATCTTCATAGTCTTGGAGTCCGGCCGATGATGATAGTTCGGCTATCCGGACACCCCCTAGTCCGGAACTCCCTCAGCGGTGGTTGTCCATGATGGTGCTTGTGTTATGTCAGCTATGTTGCAATGACAACTGTGGTGTTACGACAACCTCGACGCTCCTACAATAGCAACCATAACGGCGTCCATGTTACGATGACCCCAATGTCGTCTATGTTGCAGTGGGCGCAAAATTGCCCATGTTATAATGGTGACAACATGCAAATGGGATTGTTGGGGTTGCAACATGGGCCATGTTGCAAACGACCTGGACCGCAACATAAGCCACGTTGCAAAGGCAGAAAACGAGTGGAACACAAGCCATGTTGCAAACGGTTGGGCAAAGTGAGCGGCTGACGCGGCAGAGATGAGGACGGTTGTCGCGTGTGCCATCCAACAACTCCGAAGGTGGTTGATCCGATCCAATTGTCTTTCGGCTGATGAATAGCATGCGTCATCACAAAATAAATCTAGCAAGAAAACTTAGACACTACCATAATCGCCCTCAGTAGTGCAGCCATAATAACCACGACACATGTGCGAGTTTTCTTTAATGGAAACACATGCTATTTATTAATCAGAGAGAATAATGTTTACAAGTACAGTGATAGGATCATAAGGAGTCCATACCCAAACATGGCGGCCTATACCTAAAGAAGTAGAGTGCTTTGCGAGGCTATGTTCCTCAAATTTTCTAAACAGTCAGAAGCAATGACAATGTTACTGAGATTGAGATCCTGTGCTAGAGCCACTCCATGGCAAGCGAGGGCTTCCGGGCATGAATGGTCAGATATTATTGTCAATAATAATAGCCGGAAGCACCAATGTACACACCACTGTTGTCCCTACAAAAGCAACATCCGCTCCAGTACTTTATCTCGAGGGAAGGTTCCATCCACATTGATTTTTGGAAAACACTTGTACTCAGCGCGTCGGCCGAAACTTCGGCCGATCGCGCCGCTCGCTCGCACAGCCGCACCTCTTTCCTTTTTCCCTTTTCCATAGTGGGCCCTAAGCACCACCTCCCTCCATGCCTTATCTTCTTCCCCCAGTGAGCTCCACCACTCATCTTCCCCCATCTCCACGAACACATCCTCTTCTACTCGTGTAATCCCGTTCCTCTGCTGATCACGAAGGCAACAAAATTCGCCGATCTGGTGGCTAGAAATCGCACTGGTCTGAAGGGAGGGGCACAGGGGTACTACTATGGGAGCCGGGGGCGAGCGGCGACCATGGGGATGGTAGAGAAGGAGGCCAGCGAGATGCAACAGGCCAACTGGCGAGGTTGATGGTGGTCCACGACGGCACTGTTTGCCATGATTTTTTACTGCATTTGTTTTTATTGGAACCACTTCTGTTTTTTGCTCGAACTAGCTTTCGATTGTGCTGTAAATTGAGCACACTGGTGGCGCCGCCCATGATAGTTTGCTACATCAAAATTTTGGCTGGAAGCATTTTGGATTTTTGCTGGAACCAACCTTTGATTTTGTTGCATAGGCAGGATTTTTTGCTACATCAAATTTTTTGGCTGGAAGCACTTTTGATTTTTGTTGTATCCAACATTTGATTTTGCTGCATATACATGATTTTTTGGTACATCAAAATTTTGGCTGGAAGCACTTTTGATTTGAGTTTTAGTTTATTAGATTCTTGTTTAAAGGAATGAAAAAAAATTCAATAGAACTAAGAACACATAAAAAATAGCATAGAGGATCAAGGCCATTACCAAAAGTTCCTCCCAAGGATCCCATATCCTATTGGGTATCTGTTCCTTTGCTGGAAATAGTATTTGATTTTGCTGCATAGGCTAGGAATGGTGCTGGGGTGGTGATAGACAGCGTCTGCCATGTGTTTTGCTGCAACCAACAATCGTTTTTGTTACAACCAGCCGAAGCAGAGTTGGAACCGGCGAGATTTTTTGTTTGCGGGCATCGGCTGCAGTGCGTTTTTTGCTTGCACCGTGATATTTTTTTGCCGGAATAGTTTTTGGTTTTTGCTACCACCAGGGAAATCCCCTATCCTGTTCGTTGAGCTTTTTGTGCTGAAATACGGTGGTGGAAGCCGACGTCGGCGGCGGCGGGAGGTGCTGCAACCATGATGCCAGTTGTTGGAACCAGTCGATGAAGAGCTACAAACGACAGAATCTTGAATCTTCCTAGGTAGCTCTGCAATCCCGACGGCGCGCGGCGAGAGACGGTGAGCCGGCAGCGTGGCGGCGCACGTGACGGTGCTGCAACGGGAAGACGAGGAGATCGGGCGGGGCCGTCAACGCGGGCGAGGCGGCGCTCTTTTCCTCTCCTTTTTTCATGTGCGGGAGGTTGGCGAAGGGAAGGACAGGGGACGGATCTGACGGCTGTGCGCGTGCAGATCGGACGCTCGCGGTGCGACACGCCGGCGCCCTTGATTTTTTGGGGGTACATTGATCCTTTTTTTTTTTGTGAGTGCGTGTGTCCGCTACAGACTACTGGGCTACGGTCTGCAACTCCATCGTCGTGCCTGGCAGGGCCCGCGTGTGCGCCGCGGGCTGACAGGGCCGGCGCGCACGCAAAATGGGTTCGCAGCACGCCCACACCCCGCGCAAACTCTCTCATCGGACGGACACAAACGAAGCCCAAACTCAAACCGGACGGACCACAGACGACTCTCGGGGAGCCTGGAACGAGTTCAACTCGGAGAGCCTCTCCTCTGGAAACCCTTCCTCCCCGCGGCCTTGCCCTGCTCTCAAACCTCTTTCAAGCCGACACGCCTCCTCCTCCCCTCCGAACCGACCCAAACCCAGCAACCCTACGCAGCGAGCAGCGGCAATGGGGGGCGCCGCCGACCTGGTGCTGAAGGCGGCGTGCGACGCCTGCGGCAAGGCGTCCGAGCTCTACAGCACCGCCTGCCGCCACGCCACCCTCTGCAACTCCTGCGCCGCCACCATGGCGCGCTCGCGCGCGCGCTGCAACGTCTGCGCCGCCCCCATCACCAACGTCATCCGGGTACCCGCGACGGCCCTAGGTTTTCGATTCCGCGATCAATGCCATTACCGCTGCCGCCGCCGCCGCCGCCGCGCTTGGCAGTTTTCGGCTCTGTTGTCCCTGACCGTTTTGTTTGTTCCAACGGCCACGCAGGAGTACAATGTTCGGGTCGATACCACCGCGGGGAAGGCCCTTTCCATAGCCAAATTCAACACCGGCGTGCCGCCCTTCTCCAAGATGAAGGGTGCGGGGAACAAGTGGTCTCTTCGTAAGGATGGCCTGACGCAAGGCCGGCAGCTTACTGCCGATATGCGGGTACTGGTTCCTCGTCACGGATGATCATCCTTGGTTTCTAGTGTGATTTATCCTGATAATATGGTGTCACGATTTACAGCCTTTTTGGTGTGCTAATAATTCAAGATGCAACAACAAGGAAGCCGTGTTAATTCGTGCAGTGCGACCTCTTGTGAACAAACCTCACCAATATCACTGTAGTTATTCATTTAGGCATACATGTGTGACCAACTGATCATACATGTGTAGCTAGCGTGCTATTGGACACCCTTATTGCACAAGGGGAGTTTGTTTTGTTCATCTGATGGCAAATGTACATGCTAGTACTCCATTCCGCAGTAACCTGTTCCTTTAATCCTGTTATTAATAGCTTTGATGCTGATGATGGTTTTCCTGTAATCCTGTTGACCGTGTGGCACATACGTTTGACAAAACAGGAGAAGTACTACAACAGAAAGCCATGGATATTGGAAGATGACACAGGTGAACATCAGTACCAAAGTCAACTTGAGGCATCACAATCTGCAACTGCTACATACTATCTGCTGATTAGGCGTGGCAAGGAGTTCGATGCTGTTCCTGTTGGTTCATGGTACTCCCACAGTTTCCTCCTCCCTTTGGTTTCCCCATTTCATATGAACTATAATCATCATGAAAACGTTCTTACCTGCAAAATTCCTTTAGAGCATCCTTACAGCTTCTTATGTCTTCTCAGGTATAACTTCAGTAAAATTGCACAGTACAAACAACTGACTTTGGAAGAAGCTGAAGAGAAGATGAATAAAAGGAGAAGCAGTGCAACTGGGTATGAACGATGGATGATGAAGACAGCTACACATGGAGCCGCCGCCTTTGGTTCGGATCTGAAGGATCTTGGTGATGCAAAGGGCAAGGCGGCAGATGGGGTCCAATCCAAGAAAGAAAGTAGCAATGAGGATGGGAATCACTCTGATAAAGGCGAGGAGGACGAAGAAGAGGGAGTTGCAAAGAAAGCTGTGCGTGGGCTTTCTACGAGGGGTGTGGATGATGAAGAGGATGGCGGAAAAGAAGACTTTGATTTGGAGGATGAGATTGAGATAGGTATGCTGATCAAATACTACCATTCATATTTGCTAACATTTTGGATTTCTAGAATCTTTATGTAATATAGGACATGCTGATTATTATTACTCAACTACCAATTTCCAAAGCGGATTTGTGCAACTTGCCACTGCACCCCATCATTCAAGATCCAATTTCCAAGTTTAAAAAATGTGTAGAAGGATTCATGGATATTAATCATGGTATATATCATGTGCATGATACATTTCAAATGTGAAAGTGCTTTCTGGACATGGAGTGCAGTGTCAATTAGTAATACAAAATTTCCGTGCTCACTCTGTTACTCATAATTAGACACAGCAAAGAAACTACTTATATATGTTCAGAGTCCTCAACAGTCTTCTGAGCTGGAACCTGATCTTTATCAGGTGATGATTGGGAGCATGAAGAGACCTTCACTGATGATGATGAGGCTCTGGATATTGACCCAGAGGAAAGACCTGATGTAGCTGATACTGAAAACCCTACTGGACCAGATATTAAGCAGGTAGAAAGAAGTGCACGTGCTTGTGCTTACATCAGCAAAATGCGTGCTCTGCAACCTGCTGCTAGTATTACTATTTGCTAAATCTACAGATGCTGCTGCCTTTACCAGAATTGTTGATAAATACAATATATAATTTTCTGATTGCAATATTTGTAGGATGATGATGAGAATGAGCAAGGAGCTGGTGGTAACCTGAGCAAGTCCGGTAAGGAACTAAAAAAGCTGCTCCGCCGTGCTGATGGACAAAATGAGTCCGATGACGAAGACGATGGAGACACTGATGTAGTGACCAGAACTTTTAAAACTTGTGTATGAAAGTTCATGAGTTGCACGAGCACAAGCAGTTTTTCTGACCTGTTTTCTTGTTTACTATTGTTTCATTCAACAGGAAGACGAGTCACCATTGTCAGTACTTGCTCCAAAACTGGAACATCAATTCGGAAGTGAGCAACAGGAAAATAACACTGCTAAACTAACAGCAACAGAACTTGCTGTTAGCACTCCACCTGCACCCAGGTCCAATCAAAAAAGGAAATCCGGAGGTGATGGTGCAAAAACTTCGAATCGTGCAGCGGTAAAAAAGCCGAAGGCAGAACCTGTAAGTCATTTCTTCCGTTTTCACCCTGAGCATGTGAAATTTAAGGTTTATAATCATGTAACTGTAACATCACATCAAATTCTTTCTCTATTTTCCTACCCGTGGTACAGGAGGCAAAAACATTAGGTGTCAAGAAGGAGCCACCCTCTTCCGTGGAACCTATTTCAAAAGCATCTGCTTCAGCAGGGAGTGACACAGATACATCTGCAATTACAGAGGAGGAAATCATAAGAGTACTTCGTGCAATTGCTCCTGTCAGATCACAAGATTTTGTACCCAGGTTTAAGGCCAGAATAAGAACTCCAGAGGTAAATCCTATTGGCTTTGTGATCAGTTTTGATCTGAAATATTGTGTTAATAACTTTATGGTTTACGCCTTTCATACTATCGATCATCTTACTTCGAACATGTATGTTATATATAAGCTGTCAATGCTGACACTTTGATGTTTTTTCTATTCTCGTACTGCAGGACAAGAAACATTTTCATGACATTGTGATGAAATATGCGTACTCGCACAAGACCAACGGCGTCAGCTATCTTCACCTTCGAAAGGAGTACGAATGAACAAACAGTTAACACATTTGTATATGCCATTATACCCTTCTAGCATTGCATGCCATACTTAGCAAAAACTGCTGAATACGTCCTTGTAACTGGCCGCCCATTCTTGTCTCTATTCTTTTGTTTCAGCTTGTAATGACAAGGATTCTGGCTGGTTGACTTGGTATTCAAAATTGAATTTTGACCATTGATATCTTTTACGACGTATGATTACTAACTACAATTGTTTTTATATTTAATTAGTTTCAGATATGGATCTAATGGTAGCCTTTTTTTTTATCACAAGTTATATGCCTTTGGACGTCAGATATGAATCCATGGCGATGATTTACGACGACATATCTACTGTTGGACTGTATATTTGTTGGATATATTCTCGAAATGCATGACAATATATTTTAACTTGATCAGGCGATATTGACTGCTTAACTCGGCATTGGGTAGCAGCAGCATACAAGAATTAGTTCATTATTATGCAATCCTCCAGTATATTAAAAATATCTTATGTAAGAAGCTATATATACCAAAATAAGTTGTATAGTACAGCCCCTCAGTTCAGACAAACGAAACCACTGGGCGGACGACAGTGGCCAGCTGAACTGTGCACGACACAGGATGTGTACCATCGTGCGAAAATCGTCCAAAGTATATCGTGTGTGTAGCAGCGTTCTCAGACAAATGATGAACCGATGACAAAAGCTCATAGATCAAATGATGAATTAATGATGATAAATTAAAAAGGTAATATAAATGCATGTCACTTTGTTGATAAGCCTGGACTGACTGATTGTTTTATCTTTTTATTTCCCACTTTTGTCAGGACTACATCTGCAATTACAGAGGAGGAAATCGTAAGAGTACTTGGTGCAACTGCCCCTGTCAGATCACACGATTTTGTACTCAGGTTTAAGGATAGAATAAGAACTCAAGAGGTAAATCCTACTGGCTTTGTGATCAGTTTTGATCTGAAATCTGCGTTAAAAAAAAAAGTTTTGATCTGAAATGTTGTGTTACTAATAATTTTATGGTTTATGCCTTTCATACTAGTCCGTACTATCGATCATCTTAGTTCAAACATGTTACATGTATGTTATTTATAAGCTGTCAATGCATGCAGTCTGGACAATATATCCTCACGTGCCCTGTCAGCACAGGACTTTGATGTTTTTTTGTTATTCTCGTATTGCAGGACAAGAAACATTTTCATGACATTGTGATGAAATTTGCGTACTCGCACAAGACCAACGGCGTCAGCTATCTTCACCTTCGAAAGGAGTACGAATGAACAAACAGTTAAAGCACTTGTATATGCCATTATACCCTTCTAGCATTGCGTGTCATACTTGGGAAAACTGCTGAATACGTCCTTGTAACTGGCCGCCCATTCTTGTCTCTGTTCTTTTGTTTGAGCTTGTGTAATGTCAAAAAGATTCGGGCTGGTTGACTTGGTATTCAAAATTGAATTTTGACCATTGATATCTTTAAGACATACGATTACTAATTACAAATTTGTGTATTAAATTTGTAGCCTAACTTATACATTGGACGTCAGATATCAAAAGTTATATGACGTTGGACGTCATAAATTTGTAGCATTGTTTTCATCACAAGTTATATGACCTTGGACGTCAGATATGAATCCATGGCAACGATTTACGACTTGGATATTCTTGAAATGCATGACTTTTTTTACCTGATCAGACGACATTAACAGCTTAACTCATACATGTAGCAGCAGCGGACCAGAATTACTCCCTCCGTTCCTAAATACTCCCTCCGTTCTAAAATAGATGACTCAACTTTGTACTAGCTTTAGTACAAAGTTAGTACAAAGTTGGGTCATCTATTTTGGAACGGAGGGAGTATTTGTCTTTCTAGACATTTCAAATGGACTACAACATACAGATGTATGTAGACATATTTTAAAGTGTAGATTCACTCATTTTGCTTCGTATGTAGTCACTTGTTGAAATACCTAGAAAGACAAATATTTAGGAACGGAGGGAGTAGTTCATTATTATGTCATCCTCCAGTATATTACAAATATCTTTTATAAGAAGCTATATATACCAAAATATTCCCGTATCAAAACTTAAGACGTTTTTGTAGGCTACATTATATAGTACTGCCCCCCAGTTCAGACAAATTATGAACTGATAAAAAAAATTCATAGATCAAATGATGAATTAATGACAATAATGAAAAGGTAATCTAAATGCATGTCACTTTGTTCATAAGCCTGGACTGAGTGATTGTTTTTATCTTTTTGTTTCCCATTTTTCTCTGGATTTGTCCAGCGTGATTTGAATCGCGGCAATGAATATCCAACGGCTTAACCAAGCAGCACTGTAACCATTTATAAAGTGCAATATGGAAATCAGCACAAGTTCATAAGTCAGCTACAGTAACAACAAACAACAATGCCAGGGTATAGCCAGACACAGGAATTCTGTCACACACATACTGTCTGCCCACAAAATAGTTTCTTCATATGTTCACTCTCTGGAGCACAGTTGGCCTAAACTGGCCCAGCAAAAGGCTAGTCTGTAATAAGAAGTTCCAAACTTCCAACTGGATGAGTTCGCCAAGTCAGTTACCACCAGTTCTATGAATTCTACTTTACATCCAAACATACCTCAAGATACTAGGCATACAATATACAGCAAGGTACTCCCTCCGTTCCGATTTACTCGTCGTGGTTTTAGTTGGACTAAAACCACGACGAGTAAATCGGAACGGAGGGAGTAGCAACAATGTCAGCTTGTCGAAGCGCCGAGTCAGTTAGCGTACAGACATCGGCAAACCTTATTTCATGGACCAAGTTTACTATAATACACATCAAGGTCTAAAACTTAGACCTTCAAAACTGTAATGTTTTTGTTTCTAGTCGACTTCCATTACGGTGCCAGCCATCAGCACGGACTGAACAAATAGAGAACAAAAAAAGAAGAAAAACTGCAGTATATTGTGCAGTTTTTCTGAACAAATTTAGCCATCAACTTGAGTTTCAACAGATTTCAAATCAAACATTTAGAATTCAAAGAAAGAGTATCTACATGTACAAAGGCGCATAATATGTATTCCAGAAGTGCTGGTCAACTTCAACTTTTCATATAGTATTTGACCTCAAACAATGGAAATTACCAGGTCCAGACAGCACAAATTACATAGTTGGGTATACCTGAAGTCCTAGACTATTGCTTTATCGTACCAAACTATGCCCACAATGGAGAGACCGCACGAATGCCTTTTTATATAGCGCAGTGGCCTACATGTGCTTTATACTCTAATAAACGGGCTTGCAGGAATATACTAGCTCCAGAAAAGTTATGGTGCCATCTCAGTACAAAAAGAAATGAAAGGGATCTGCGAACATAGAAAGCTTGAACCCATCACACAAAGTGGGGCACGCCTGTTTGCTCTCAAGCCACAGCAGAATACTTTCATCGAAAGCATGTCCAAAAAGCAAGATGCTTTCCAGTCCACAATACTCGGTGGTCTTGCTGGTATCATGCATTGTATTCCAATAATCCTATCGCTAGAAAAACTACGATTATGTATATGTGATTAATGGAGACGGTTCTTCTCAAACTTGAATAGAAACTGCGACTGCTTTATCCATCAAGATTTCAATAGTACATTAATCAATTAAATGGTTAGATTGGGAATTACTGTTCTTATCACCGTTGAATTGAAACTGCCACTGTTTTTCCTATCACAAGATTCCAATAAATTAAATAGATAAATCAGGGTGGTGTACAAGAAGAAACAAGCATAAGAATATAACTGACACTACCATTTGCATCTAACCAACAAACTAAACTCACCGGCCTTTCCTGCGGGATCTCAAAGGGAACCCACCAGGAGGCGACGGTGAGAATTCTACTGGGAGATGTGGTGGTTCACCCTCACCAGAGAGCATTTCAAGCACCTCCTCGCTTGATGGGCGACGGGTTGGCGACCTCTGGATACACAGGAGTGCGACAGTGATGCATAGCAGCGCCTGGTCACGATTAACATCCAGGAGTGCAGAGTCCACAAGATCAAGCAAGCGGCCAACATGGGCGAGATGCCTCGCCCACGAAATCAGACTCGCCTTCTCAAATTCAGACATGGGTGAGGCCGTCACTTGGAGTGGGCGGCGTCCAGAAATAAGAACTAACAACAAGACACCGAAGCTGTACATATCGCATTTCTCCGATAGAGGCCCACCGCCACCATACTCAGGAGCCACATAACAGACTGTGCCACGCATGCTTGGTGTGCTGCTCACTGCTCCACCACTCTTAGGCACAAATTCTGTACTAGCCCAATCCTTGCTACTCCTTACACCGTCAGCCCACCAATCAATGGTGCTATTGCCATTGCCATTGCCATTGCTGCTCCTCCGACTCCAGCTTTTCATCATCCTCCACCTTGAACGTCCCTTCTCCTCTAAATCACAATCCTTCTCCCACCACTGCAAGCCAGTCATCACGCCAGCATCACTCTTTGACTTAGCAAGTGCCCGCCGTTTTTGCTTCTTGGTGAGTTCCTCAGCATACTCCTCGCGCCACCACTCCCGTGCCCTCCGCTTTGGTTTCTTCTTTTCTGCTGAGGTGGTAGGGGTGGTTGTAGATGCTCCGGCAATCCAATCGCTCTTTGGTCTCTCCTTCTTGATCTCCGACCTAATCCATTCCATCACATAATCCTTGACACCACCACCACCACTGCCGGCAGCATTATCTTGACGCCACCACCAGTCACTCCTAGCTCCTGATGCTACAGCACCCCCACCATTGCAGGTTCGACCATTGAATCCACTACCAACACTAGTTTTATCACATCCGGAAGTTGATGCCGCCTCTGCATGTGAGGCAGTGGTGAACCCCTCATCATCCTCTGGAGACTTGGGGGCACCGTCTTCCCCATTCACTACAATAGCAGTCATGCTCTCGCCGGCCACTACCGATACATCATCATGGCATCCACCACCTGGATTACCATTTCCGACCGCATTGTCC